AATAGGGACTGAAACACTATGCAGCCATAAAAATGGCAAGTTTATAATTAGTAATGTATGTTATCAGGAAGAAACAAGGTGCAGAACTGTTTGCACAGTGAGCCTCCGAGCTTTTTAAAGGTCAAATATAAATATACAGGTGTATTTTTTATATATGCCTATATATAAAGTGTCTGGAAGAAGACACAAAAAGTGGTAAAAATGGTTGTTTCTAAGCAAGAGAATCAGCAGTTTGAAATAAAATGTTTTAAAAACCACTTCTCATACTTTATGAGTATGATAAAAACACAATGAAAAAATTTTTTAAAATTTATTATAGTAAAAGACACTGCCATGAATTCCCCTCCAAATACTCACCCTCAGTTCCAACACACTTATCCCATTGTTCTTGCCATTGTCTGACATAATTCTAGGAGTCCTCTTTTGTGAGTGTCTTTAGCTGTGCTGTCAGGGCTACCTCACAGTCTAAAACTGACTTGAAGGTTTACCTTTCATGGTCATTTTCACTTTGGGGAAGAGGCAGAAGCTACATGGTGCCAGATCCAGCGAATATGGTGGATGAGATGGCAGATGAGGGCACACTTACTTTGACAGAAATTGCTGTTTGATCAGTGAGGGGTGCTTAACAAATATGGTGAATATTTAAATCTAAAGATTTATTACAGTAAAAGACCCACTGCTCTTACTCCCCCTCAAAATACTCCCCCTCACTTTGAACATATTATCCCTTCATTCTTGGCAATGTGTCTTTTACTGTAATTTTTTTTCTTTTTTTGGTACCGGGAATTGAACTCAGGACCTTGCAAGGCAGGTGCTTGTGTCGCTGTGCTACATCCCTGGCCCATGTAATATTTTTTTTCAATCTAAACATTTACTGTATTTTTCTATCACCCCTTTTATGTGTAAGAAAAGCTTTAGAGTGGGTCAAAGCTGACAGTTATGCAAAGTTCTGTAATAACATCATTTGAATACTAGTATCTGACATGACACCTTGCCACTAGAAGATGCTTAAATATCTGCTGACTTGAATTGCTATGGGATCCATCCTAAAAACCACCACTACGACAAGAATCTAAAGAGCAGAAAATTAACTCTCCACAATCACAGTCTATCACATAATTGCTTTTTTCTATATTCTCCACAATGTCTGAGTACTGTCCTGTCAGCAAGGAAAAGCAAGCACAAAACACTCCATATGCCCAAGGCACCACTAACAAATCCTAGCCTCAACCTGCTATTTCACTTCTATTAGAACATAAACTTAATTAGGAGAGGAACTTATCTTCTTGAATCTTTAACACCTACAACAGAGCCAACACATATTTACTCAATAAGTATCTTTTAAATAAATAATTGAAAACAAGGTCTCACATAAAGTCCTAGACAAAGCTACATCTAACCACAACTTGTCTACTCTGGCTATTTATATAAGCTTATCCGGCTGAGGATGCTAAACAGACTACATATTTTTAGTCAAAAATCACAGGAGAGAGATTCTCACAATCCCCTTTGACAGGACCTTTAAAGTGTCTTTCAGCCCTATAACTAGAAAGGAAAAGTAGCTAACAGCCAACTGGTCCCTAGCCAATCCTCATTTTTCTTCTTTTTCAAAGTAATTGCTAAGCCAATTTAAAAACCCTGAAAGCATGAAACCAAAACTTAGGAACTAACAATCAGTGTGGTTGAGAACATTCTCAAAGTACATTTCCCAATAATACTTTAAAGGAACAATTAAGCCATCTGCTAGTAATATTACTCAAACATCCTAAATTTCTCCTATCAAGAGCATTTATCATCTTACCAGGGTTTAGAAAACACTTTGCTTTTGGAACTAGACTTTTATCTTCAACCAGACTTTTCTCTCCACTGCCTCACTAATGTTACTCCTATCAAGGTTACCACACTGCTAATCAGATGGTTAACCCTCAGTGCATCTGACACCACTGGCAGCTCCCTACTCACCTGCCTTCATCTGGTTTTCAGCTACCAAGTGTCCTCGATGTCCCTCCTCACCTCCCTGACCTCCAAGATCAGAGTAACTAAGTTCTGCAACCACTTCTTCCTTCCATCTCTACTCCCTATTGTCAGTACCACTCAGGGGTCTCTCTCCAGCAGATCCTTCCCTCCTCAATTCAAGGCTCATAAAACCAAATGCCGGCCCAAAAGCTTCTTCCAATAGAAACCTAATTCAGTACCAAAACTGAGCTTCTGTTCTCCCCCACCACCAACTTGTTTCTTTTAGTCTTTCCCATCACAATAAATGGCAACTACATCCTTCCAAGAAGTCAGTGTAAAACCCTGGGAGTTGACTTTAAACTCTCTGCTTTCTTTCATAGAGCATACCCAACCAACCAAAACTTATTGACTCTACCGGAAAAATGTATCCAGAATCACACTGTATGTCACCACTGTCCCTGCTATCCTCTAGTGCACACTCTTCTCTCACTTTCAATCACAACGACGCCTCATGTGTGATCTGCCTGCTTTGCCCTGCCCAATCACCACTCTATTGTCAACACAGTCTGAGGAGGGATCACATCACCTATTGCCCAAGCCCCTGAGACTTCCCCTTTCCCTCAGAATCAGACTGAAGGTACCTAGGAAGAGCAGGAAGCCTGAGCACCACCACAGAGCTTCCAGGAAACAGGCCCCACCTCAGGCCAGCAAATTAGAATCTCTATGGCACCCCAATGTGAGAAGGCCCAGAATGTGCTACAGGAAAAGCACCCACACTGTTACCCCTTTTTTTTTTTTTTTTTTTTGAGTCAGGGTCTTGCTACATAGCACAGGCTGACTTTAAATTCACTATGTAACCCAGGCTGGCCTTGAACTCATGGCGATCCTCCTGCCTCAGCCTTCCAAGTGTTGGGATTACAGGTGTGCACCACAATGCCTTGTAAAAGACTGCATTTTATATGTATTATTTATCTTTTCTACAGAAGCACTATGAGGGCAGAAATTTTTGTCCATTTTCTTCCCCCCACCATACTCAGAACACAGTAACCACTTCATATTTTCAGATGTATAGAGCAATAAACAAAATGAGTTTCTTTTTTTTTTTTTGGTTTTTCTCCGGTACCGGGAACCAAACTCACGACCTTGCGCTTGCCAGGCAGGTGCTTTTGCTGCTGAGCTAAATCCCCAGCCCCAACAAAATGCGTTTCAATATGACAGTCACTAAACCTTTTAAAATGGCTCCTTACTACAGAAGCTGACTTTTTCCCAGCATCACATACAACAAATCTGTGTTTTAAGACAGAGTATACTGAACAAGCACTATATAAACTAATGTGCATCCCTAATTAAGAGCAGAGTCACACCAGGTGTGTGGCACACACCTGTAATCCCATCATTTGGGAGACTGAGATTACAGAAGAATCACTGAGAGTTCAAAGCCAGCCTGGGCTACATAGTGAGTTCAAGGCCAGCCAAACTACATAAAAAGACCCTGTGTAAACTGGCCTCCCCCCACAAAAAAAAGAATGGAGAGTTACAAATCTGATTAATGGCCACGGCAGGCCCATGCTATCAAAAAGTTGCAGAAAGAAAAACTGAGAGAAATGAACAGGCATGCCTCAAACCTACGACGCAGTAATAACCCTTTATATTGGTCTTGCATACAAATTTTCTCATTTGATTCTCAACAATGCCCTAAGCTATGAAAAGTAAATAATAATTTGCCCATTTTAGAAGTGAGCAATATAATTCTTAAGGTATAGCAATAATGTCAAAATTGAGACTAGTCTCTTGATTTTTAGTTCAAAAATATATACTATCATACTTCTTCTTGCAAATGATACTGTACCAAGCTGTAAAACTGTGTAAATATGTATTATTGGCAGATACTAACTTTTCCCAAACCATCTAGGTTTACGCAAAATGGGAACATAGTTCACTGAAGTCACATTCAGCTTGAAGAATAAAAACTCAAACTGCTTCCTGTTACTTGTGAGTCTAACGCCAGTGCTGGCAAACCTATAGCACCCATACTGCAGTGGGCTGTCTGTCTCACTGAAAGTTCTAGAAGATTCACCATCACTGGTCTAACCCCATGCTCAATAACATTCACGAAGAATGTTAAGAAGTAGTCTGTTATATACAACAAGAAGTTCTTGTTAAGCCACTATAATTGCTAGAAGAGAAACTGGGAGAAATGAAAATGCAACATGTAGAGGACCACCTGGACAACTCTCCTTGAAAGAAGAGCAATTATCTCTATTTTGGCTAAATGTGGCCCTATTTCCATGTATAGCCAGCTTTGTATAGAGCTGGCTAGGACTTTTCCTTATCTCCTCAACTGGCTTTAAGCAATGCAAATCAGTCTAGCGAGGTGCTGATTTGTATGTTGTCTTTGAAGCAAGCTCCCAAGAAGGGAGGGAAAGCCACTCTCCACCCGGTTGGCTGGGACTGAGCCTCAAAAAAAAAAAGACCCTGACATCTCAAGGCATAAAAAATTACACATCAGAGCTCAAGTACCAACCTCAAAACATTAAATACTGCCTGCAATTGTGTTATGCAGATTATTCTTTCTGCTATTTCTCTCTCTCTGCATATTACAGAGGTGATTTCAGGCCTCCTACCTAGCCCAGCTCACAGCTCTCATGTACTTCCCGACATTCTCACAGTCACTCATCCCTGACCCACTCCCCTCTTCAAGGGTTAATAAAACCTGGGTTCAGTCCTGGGTCAAGGTCTTTGATCCAGTTATCCATCATTCTAGGTGGACTCAGAACCCCCTTGGCTCCCCACAACTGTAAATTATGCCTTAGTGTCTTTATTCTCTCCATGTGTCGCACTGGAAGTGGTAGATTGGAATTAACTCGCTAGAATTCCAGTAACTTTTCCATGAGATTACAAATATAAACTTCCCAAACTGAGACAAGGAATAAATCAATGAAAGAGAACTGAGTTTTAGAAAGGACAGTGTCACGGTTATATCATTATTTTGTACTGCCCTGAATGCCTAAGTACTGTGATTTTGCAAAAGAAAATAGACCTACCTCCTTAAAATCCCAGGACAGCCTTCCTTTCTTTGCATAGATGAGAACAAACAGTTGTAATCCAAAATGTTCCCCAAAAAGTTCTTTTTAAAGAAGACAAAGACATCGAAGATCCTTATGAAAAGAGACCCAATCTGAGAGGATGGACACTGTGTCTTCCAAATCCTGTGACCAGCTGTTCACCAAGCATCAGTATCTGCAGAAAGGGCTGACCATGGGTACCTCTTCTCCAGACGGTAACACCAGCTGGGACAGAGGAACAAGAGAAGGAGAAAGAAATGCTACTGAGTGTTGAAAAGAAATAACTTGGCTGATAGACATTACTAGTTCTCAAGCTCCAAACTTTTTTTAGTTAACTTTAGTGCACATCAAAAGATCACATCAAGGTAATGTGTGTGGCCAACCGTAGATGGCACTGGGGGTTTTAAGTGAGAGCAACAACCAAAGACTTCAGTGGCAATCCAGCCTGCTTACTAATAGATAAACTGAATCATAATGATACAGAAAAGTGTATGTTAAGCTTTTTTACAGCAAGACAATAATTACATCACACAAACATAGATTAAATAACAGTCTATATCAGTGGTGGCGAACCTATGGCACATGCGCAGCAGCAGGCACGCAGAGCCTTCTCTGTCAGCACTCAAGCCAAGTCCCCTCAGCAGCCTACCGTCAGGTAACAGTTGTTTTTTCTAAACTGGTATATATAGTCTAAACAGACCAAGCATTCTGGTATCTCATAAAATAAGTGCTATATAATTTCTATAAGTACTATATAATGTGAACTATGACAGCAGAAAACATCAGGCAAAACTGCATATGTAGGTCTAGCAGAGAAATTAAAAGTTAAAGTGGAAACTGAGGGACATCCAAGTTAAGTAGACATAGAGTAGTTTTGTGTACCCTTGTTAGGAAGTTATAGAACCAGAAACCCATTTATATTTCAGCAACAAGTACAGACAGTACTTGAATCTGTCATATCACACATTTCTATCGAACTACAAATTATAAAATATATGGTATACTGAAATACAATGTTGCATGGGATTAACAGCAGAAGAAAAAATTACTGGCCAGGCAGGGTGGCACACACCTGTAATCCCAGCACTCGGGATGCTGAGGAAGGAGGATCGTTGCAAGTCCGAGACCAGCCTGGGCTATAAAGTGAGCTCAAGGCCAGCCTGAACTGCATAGCGAGACCCTGTCTCAAAAAGACAGGAAAAAAAAAAAAAAATTACTGAATGTAAAGAGAGCAATAGAGACTAGCCAAGACATAGCCAGGCACAGTGGCACATACCTACTGTCCCAGCACTCTAGGAGGCAGAGGCAGGAAGATAGCAAGTTAGCAAGACCCTGTCTCAAAATTAAACACAGCTCAGTGTTAAGGCCTTGGGTTCAATCTCCAGTATAGAAAGGAAGAAATCTCCAGTATAGAAAGGAAGAAAGAAAGAAGACGGGAGCAGAGTCAGACTGACTCAGCATAGAGTAAGAATGGAAAAAAAACGCAGAGCAGTGAGCTGAGCTATGAGATAATCTGAAGGAGGCCAACACCATATGTATAAATGGAACGTGTACTATCTGAAGAATAATAACCAAAAATTTTCCAAATTTGATGAAAAATATAAGTTCACAGCCTCAAAAACCTCAACAAATACCACAGGCAACAGAAAAAAAAAACAAAAACAAAAACATGAAAAAAGCCATAAGGAAAAAGCACTGAAGAAAACAGAAAATACAGAGGTACCTTGACTCATAAACTTAGTTTATTACATGATTCTGGATAAGATGGCCGTGGTCATGTTTGTCACCTGATGCAGAGTTCACAAACAAAAAACTTTGCCCAATGCTTCTGTCTGCAAACCAAACTGTTCACAAACAAAGCATTCCTGAACCAAGGTACCATTGTATCTTAAAATCATACATTTGGTTTTGAATATCACGTCTGATTTTATAATACCCAGAGAACACTTAAAACTCCACAACAGTGACGAAAATAACAAACAAGCAACCAGATTCAAAAAATGACAAAGGACCTAAACAGATGTGTCTACACAGAAGACACAGAAGCGGCGAGGACACCCAGGAGGACATGCTCAGGATCACTGCCACTCGGAAATACAAATTATAAGTAGAGGGCAGACCAAAACCAACTGCCACAGATTAGGATGACATTACTGGAAAAAAAAAAAAGGAGAAGAAGTGTTTGTGAGGGTAGGGGAAAAGTGGAACCCTTGCAGCAGCACTATTCACATGAGCTAAAGCTGAAAACAACCCAAGTGTCCATCAACAGATGAATGAATGTATTGCTTAGCTTTCTTGTTGCTGGGACAAAACACCAGACAACTGCAACTTGAGGTGGAGAGTTTTTTTTCTTTTTTGGGGTTTTTTTTTTTTGTCTTTTTGAGGCAGGGTCTCCCTGTGCAGTTCAGGCTGGCCTTGAGCTCACTTTGTAGCCCAGGCTGGTCTCAAACTCGCAATGATCCTCCTGTTTCAGCCTCCCAAGTGCTGGGATTACAGGCGTGCGCCACCATGCCTGACTGGACAGGTTTATTTTCCCTTATAGTTTCAGAATTTTCAGCTCATAGTCAGCGGGCTCCAAGGCAGAAATAATGGAATGGGAGGGCAAAGGAAAGCTGCTCAACTAATAGAATCCAGGAAGAGTGACTGGGGATTTAGCTCAGCGGCACAGTACCTGCCTGGCAAGAGCGAGGTTGTGAGTTTGATTCCCGGTACCGGAAAAAAAAAACAAAAAAAAGAATCCAAGAAGCAAGCAGGGAGAACCCAGATAGAGTCCCTTTGGCCACAACCCCATGACCTACTCAGACACTTGCAGAATCATGCTTTACTCATCTCCTAGGAAACTCTGAAGTTAATCCATTTGACAATAAAGACAGCATCATAGTAGGTAAATAAAACATGGTATGGACAAATGGAGGAATATTATTCAGTCTTAAAGGAAAAAGGTCCTCCATATGCCATAATATGGATGAACCCAAGGACACTGTGCTGTGTATAAAAACAAAAGTCACAAGAAGACAAATCTGTGTAAGAAGTTCACTTATATGAGGAAGCCAGAGTGATCAAACTCACAGAAAGTAGAATGGTAAGTGCCAGGAGTCATGGGAGCGAAACTGAAGTTAGATTTTTAAGGGGTACCAAGCTTCAGTTTTGCAAAGAGTTCTGAAGGTGAGTGGTAATGATAGTTAACATTTTAAATGTACTTAACGGCACTAAACTATACACTTAAAATGGTTAAAGTGGTATACTTTACATTATGTGTATTTTACTACAATAAAATAAAAAATTCTGAGAGCTGGGCACAATGGCACTTGCCTGTAATCTCAGCCGGTTGGAGACTGAGGTGAGAAGATTATGAGTTGAGGCCAACCTGGGCAAATTACCAAGATCTCACCTCAAAAGAAAAAAGAATCACTATTATCCACTGACGAACAAAGGTAAATCTAACAAGAGCAGACTTTTCAGAAGCAGTGAAAGCTAGAAGACAGTGATGCAACATCTTTAAAGTACTAAAAGAATAAAACTGTCAGTCTAGAATTCTATCCCCACTAAAAATATATTCTACAAATAAAGGTAAATTAAAGATTTCTTCAAAAATACAAGAGCTAAAAAGAGTCCATCACCAACAAACCTTTACTACAAGATGCACTGAAAGTCCTTCCCTTAGAAGGAAAATGGTACCACACAGAAATCTGCAGCTACACAAAAGAACAGGGTCTTCAAAAAATTCAAAGTACCTTGATTAACAGAAGCTAGCTCCCATCAGACTTGCCTGTACACCATAATATTCCTTTTGTTATTTATTATTTTTATAATAAGAAATTCTAAGGTAAAAACTATTTGAAACACAGTGTGTGTCCTTCCCAGTCATAGAATTTAACATCATCCTGCTTCCAGCCTGGGTTCTATTATATAGACAGTGGTTTCCAAACCCTTTTGGAGGAGTTGTCTACAGAGGAAGTCCTTGAGATAAAAGTATGACCGTGGTCAATATATAATTTATCTATTTTCAATGTCTCCAGGGAACGCTGAAGTCACTTAGAAATAATCTACAAAGACAGCAATGTTCCTAGCTTTCAAGAAATCTGAAAAACCTTAGGTTTCAATGAATTGCTGACAGTGTCCCTAGCTGGCAAAAGAGCACTTTTGCCAAGTCTCCGTAAGGAAAATTAATTTGTCAAGCAAAGATGTCAAAGCAATGGCTGCAAAACAAAGTTTCAGGGTTAGATGTTGAAACAGGAAATGAAAAGCAGTATCTGACACTCCTCTATTATAGTGCAAGCCTCACAGGGAATGTGGTAAATAAGAATAAAACCTCTGTAATATAATATCACTGATGGCAAAGAGATCATCACAGAATGGGAACACTGCCAACTGTCCCTTCAAAGACATCGTATTAAATGCAATCCCACACATTTAGGTTCTTTGACGGCACAGCAAAACTTACAACTCAACTGAACTTAAGACCTCTTGCCACTCTGAGACCAACAATCGTCCATAACATAACTCCTCTAGCACAACTAGAGGGGTCACAAAGTGTTGTGGAGTTCAACAGTGGTACTGATTGTGCAGCACTGTAAATGTCAGCTGGGAGCAGTGGCGCACACCTGTAATCACAGCACTCTGAGGCTGAGGCCAGAAGATCACAGGTTCAAGCCTGAGTAACTTAGACTGTGTCTCAAAATAAATATTAAAATATTTTTAAAAATGAAAAGGGCTGGAAATGTAGTTCAGTGTAAAGGCCCTGGATTCAATCCAAAAAAAGAAGAAGAAAAAACTTATGAATGTACTGAAAGATACTGAACAGTAAATTTTAAACAGTTAACTATTTACTTTAGACAAATTTTACGTTATATGAATTTTAGGTCATAAAAATGTATTTCCAAATGCTAGTTATCCAGCACCTATATCTTTCATTACTTCAAAAAAAATGTTTTGCTCACAGAAAAATCATTTGAAACATTAAAATGGAATATATAGAGACTCAAGAGAAGATAAAACTACAGACGTTAAGTAGTAATTCTAATGGTTAGTGTGGGGAAGTAAACACATGAGACCTTTTTTTGGCAGAACTGGAGCCTGAACCCAGGGCCTTTGTACAAGCTACATCCCTAGCCCTTTTATAATTTTAGTTATTTTTAATTTTGAGACAGGGTCTTGCTAAGTTGCCCAGTCTGGGCTCAAACTTGCTCTCTTCCTGCTTCAGCCTCCCAGAGTGCTGGGATTACACAAGTATGCAACCATGCCAAGCACAGACACAAATTTTAAGAGCTGAGAAACTATTTTGGAAGATACTGTAATAAAGATATTAAAAGTCGGGCTGGGGATTTAGCTCAGCAGCACAGCACCTGCCCGGCAAGCACGAGGTCATGAGTTCATTCCTGGTACCAGGAAAAAAAAAAAAAAAAAAAGGATATTAAAAGTCTACCAAAACTACAGAATTTAAAACACTAAGAAAAAAAAGTAAAAAGTAAATAAGTAAATAAAGCACAAAGAATAAACCTAAATAAATACAAATTCTTACACAATCAGGAAGTACAGGAATCTCAGCACAGAATGCAGAATGTATCAAAAGGACCTAAATCCTCACAACTACATGGACCCCCTCAAGAAGAGGATGGGAATAAGCACTGACCTAAGAAATGCTGAAAAGGAGCAGAAGCTGTAAGACTAAAGGCAGAAGGAAGCACCCATAAGTTTGTTCTCTAGTTGAAGTACCCCCAAGAGCACAGAAACACCAAAGCCAGTATCATAAACTCTCAAACTGAAGAAGGTAAATGAGTAGTGGTTGGTGGGAGCCAGGTTTCTCACTGTGAAGTGGAAAGTTACAAATAGCAATGTAGGGGCTGGGCATTTAGCTCAGCAGCACAGCACTTGCCTGGCAAGCACAAGGTCATGAGTTCTATTCCGGATGCGGGGGGGACAACAACAACAACAAATAGCAATGTAGAGGTTAGAACGATCTGTGTGTACAGAGCTGAAGATATAATGAACTCAGGCCCAGACTCACACAGGCATATAGACATATATAAGTACCTATGGGTATGTGGAGGTGTGTGGGTTGACACACACATGTGTACACTCTTGCTCTGTCACCTAAAAGCCTAGAAGCAACACTTCAGTGCCAACAAACACACCTACCTCCCAAATCTTGGCTTAGCATATCATTGTCTAGGAGAAGAAACCATTCTTCCCTGCAGAATAAGTAATCACAGGACCAAAGCAAAATACATGCAAGATGAGCCTTGAAACATTTTAGATTGCCAGGAAGTAAAAAGTAATCAAAAATATAAACCAATGACAGAATACAAGGGCTAATCAAAAAATATGGTGTATGTTTGCAGTTTTTTAAATATATTACAGTAAAAGACATTTTGCATTAAAGGCAAATTACTCTCCCTCAAAATCCTCCCCCTCGCCTCAAACACACTTAGCCATTATTCTTGCCACTTTCTGCAGCAGTTCTGGAAACCCTCTTTTGTGAGTGTTTTTAGGAGGTATGATCAAAACAACAGAGCACCACTACAGAGTGCAATCTGACAGGCAGGCTTATAAATACATGACTATGCGCCCTCATCAACCTAATCAGGCACCTTTCAACTTCTGGCTCTTCCCCAAAGTCAAAATCTCCAAGAAAGGGATATGTTTTGAATTGATTCAGGACATCAGGTAGCTCCAACAACACAACTGGAGACACTCAGGAAAGAGGGCTTCCAGAGCTGCTTCAGAAAGTGGCAAGAGTGACAGGATTAAGTGTGTGAAGCAAGGGGGAATATTTTGAGGGGGGAAGAGTAAATAGCAATGTGTCTTTTACTATAATAAATTTTAAAAATTTGATTCACCATATTTTCGACTCCATCTCATCCATCAAAAAGAATACAGAAGCCAACTGAAAGAGTTCCCAGTGGCCAAATCTAAAAAAATAGTGACTCTCTTCCAAAGGGAACAGAATACAAAGGGAGAAGAAAAAGAATGACTTTACAGAGGGGAAATTATACACATGACCTCAAGCTAGGCAACAGATGTCAACATCATACTAACAAGTTATCTGATGTGTACCTCAGTGATCTGATAAGAATGGCACTTTATCTCTGTGGTCTTCCTTCCAAAAGCACATCAGTCTAAACATGAAAATATATCAGACAAATCCCAGCTAAAGAGCATCCTACAAAGCACTTGACCGGTAATCTTCAGAAGTACCAAGAAAACACTGAGAGATCCCCACAACCAAGAGGAGCTCAGTTACTAAACATAACAGGGGATCCTGGGTGGGAGCCTGAAGCAGGAAAGACATATTAGGGGGGAAAATGTGGAAATCTGAATAAAGTATGGACTTAGTAATAACAGATCAATACTGGTTCATTAATTTTGACAAATGGACCACTCTAATGTAAGATATTAATGAAAGAGCAAACTGGGTGTAGGGTAGACAGGGATTATCAGTACTATCGTCATAATATTTCTGTAACTTTAACAAATAAGAGTTAACTTTTTTAAATGTAATATTTACGAAGCTGGGTGTGGTGGTGCACACCTATAATCTCAGCACTTAGGAGAGGAGGCAGGAAGGATTGCAAGTTCAAGTCCAGCCTGAGCAACTTAACAAGACCTTGTCTTAAAATGTAAATAAATAAGTGCTAGGAATGCAGCTCAGTGTAAAGACCCTACGTTCAATCCCCAACTCCCCACTCCAGCAAAAAAAAATTACCTAAAATATGATCTTTATCCTTAAGAAACTTGGCTCACTGTGAAGTTATGAAACAAGTGTAAAATACAAAAATAAGAAAATGAATATGAATAAGAGTATACTAGAAATATGGAAGTTTAGAATTGTAAGGGAAGGCTTCAGGAAAGAGGTAAAATTTGAGTTTGTACCTTAAAATGTAGTTCAGTGCACCGAAGTAAAAACAAAAAGCAAGATAAACAGGCACACTTAGAAGAACCACCAGAATAATGAATAAAAAAAGACAAAAGAAATTTAAAACTTTAGCCCTTCCACTGAAATGGAAGTCACAGTAGCAATGCTCAAATACTTTTGACAGTCATGTGACAGAAATAATAGTTACATCATATACCCATTTAACTTACAAGCTGACCTCTGGTAAAATGTGACCAATGCTGAAGGACAAAGAAAGTGACAGCTGCTAAGTAGAGCCAGGAAATGCCAATATGGAAAGACAGGAAGCAGGTGGCTAAGTTCTTTCCCACATCTTTCCAAAGACAAGTGTGTTTGTGAGTTCAGTGAAGCAAAAATCTATATTCAAATCCTGCAAACATTCACTGACCACTTTCTGTGCCACATCTTTTCCTCTATATTATCTTGTTTAATATCCATAACTCATCTACACACCTTTATTAATGTAACGGAGTCTTACTGTGAAAACAGAATTCAACAAACTGCACAGAAGCAGAAATATGTCAGAATTCTCCATCATCCCCAACTCTCCGATAAGGATAAGGTAACTTTTAAAAAGCAAAATAACTTGAAGCTTTAGATAGCAACATAATAATTTATTCCCCAGGGCTCCTTCCTTTAGTAAAGTTCATTGTTTCTCAGCCTTTAATGTGCATACAGACTGTGTATGATCATATACATAAAAATATCCACACTATACTTTTTGAGCAACGTATGGGATTTCCAAATACCATTTCCCTCCTCTCTGATTTCTGCCTGGTGCACAAGTTTGAGGACCTAACTCTGGGATGAGGCTCACTCTGGGTTCAAAAGACAAAATCTTATATAGAAAACATTGCCACAATTAGATCTGAAGCTGCACAAGATCCGTTGAGGTAAGGAACTTTCAGTCACTAACGGTGTTCACAAAGAGGATGAAAAGCACTGAGAACATTTTGGAAAAGAACAACTGGGTGAGGAGCTCCCTCAACTCAGAGTCCACAGTGGGGAGACTGTTAAAACCTGACAGAGGAAGGCAACTAGTCAAAAGCAACAAAATGAAAAAGGAACACAGGCAATACTGTAATCACTAGCTCTGTGGGAAATGCCCTGCCTGGGACACACAGCAGCTAGCTCATTTCCACCTCAGACCTTGTGCTAGTTAGTGTCTGCCAGAGAAGCTCTTCCACCCTTCAGGCCACAGCTCAAACTGCTTCTCTTAGAGGTGAGGCCTCCTCAGCCACTAACTATCCACTTATCTCTAGTCACTCATCATCAGGTCAGCTTGTTTTATTTTCTTCATAGTTCAGATTAGAGGTCACAAACCACTTCTACAAAAGGTCAGACTACTGGGCATGGTGACACACATGTATGTAATCTCAGCACTCCAGAGGTTGCGGCAAGACGACTGCTGCCGCATTTCAGGCTAGCCTATAGTGAGTTCAAGACATTATACGGGCTACAGAATGAGACCCTGTCTCAAAACAAAGAGAAAGGTCAGATGACTGCATACAAGCCAAATCCAGCCTGCTCCATGTTTTTGAGTAGTCTCTGAGCTAAGAATGGCTTTACATATTTAAATGGTTAGGGAAAATTTTTTTAATGAATATTTCATGATATGAAAATTAAATAAAATTCGTTTCACTGCCAAAGTTTATTTGGAAAATAGATGTGCTAGTTTATGAAACTAGCCTTGAAAGGATCTTCTCTATCCACCTGCTTTTTGCGCTTCCCCCTCCTTCCTACACACACAAAATAAAGCTTAGAGAGGGCAGAGGTCTTGTCTGTTTTGTTCCCAAACTATAGGCCAGTACTTAAAAATTCTAGAACTAAGTGAGGGCTCAATAAATATTTAATGAGTAAATTAATAAGTGGCCTATAAATGTCACTCTGAGGAGTTTAAACTTCAGCCCTCAGCCATTATAGGTTTTATGACATGAATAAAAATCTTGCAGAAAAGGGCAAAATATTCTGGTAGTGAGGACCACACAGCTTAACTTACCAATGATCACCAACTGCCCAGGACACTGGGATTCTTCATCAAACTGTAGACTACAAGGTCTTGTGGTCATAAAAGATTCTCTCAACCACTGCAAGGTGTCACAGTAGGGTCAGCTGATGATCCTCCCAATTACTTTTAAGATGCAAATACAGTACTGAGAAATCTCATTTCCTATACCTAGTACACAGCATCAATCTCATGCTAAATATTAATAAATGCTCACAATTACAACACATCTAGATCATATGCTAATGAATTTTCAGGATGTAAATTCTTTCTATGCTGCTGATCAACAATCTATTCTGTAAGCAGCTGAAAATTTTTTAGAAATTAAAAGCTTACCACCCACAGATGAGATGCAGCTTTTTAATCTTTTTATACTAGCCAGGGAGTGGGTGTGTGATTAAAAAAAAAAAAAATACAAGCCAACTCTGTTGGTGGAGGACAAGGTATTGTTGAGTTAAAATCCCACCTATAAGCATCATTTGTTACGTGACACTAGTAAAACTACCACCTACTCGCAATTTGAATCTCAATCTTTCTAATCTACAGAGAAAAAACTGTACCCTCCTCCTGGAAGGATTTTATGTCAATAACATTTCCATTGGGTTAATGTCTGCAATGACTTCTATACACAGGCACCTCAAAAAGACTAGGGTTAGGTTTAACCAACTGCTTCCCCAAAATCTAGGATACTGGATAGAAGGCGTAAACAAATCAAAGTTTTGTTTACCTTAAAGGTGTACCTATTTTTTCTGCCTTAGGTGGTCAGCACTGAACTAATTTAGGAATTCGGACTTCTCAGAGATGCTTATAGCACAGGTACTTCTGACAAGCCTCAGACTCTCAGCAACCATTTTGGGTGCGGGGGTCGTCTTTCTATTCTCTATGGCACCCTGCGAACAACGGCAAGGGTCTTCTGAGGCGAGGGTGTAACGTGTCACCAAAGCCTGGTCATCAGCTCCAGCGGGCTGCCATAGATTCACCTGAAGGGCCCTCGGGTCAGGGCTGTTGAGGACCAGGTCACACCGACCACGGGGCCAGCGCTGCACACACCTCTGCCGGCGGGTCCCCGCCTTTCCCTTTCCAGAGGGGCGACACCGACCCGCGGCCCGGTCCACCCTGCCGTGTCCCGGTCCTCGCAGGACAATGCCCCCCCCCCCCGCAACACCAAGTTCAGAAACAAAACAAGAGGTGCACAACTGGTTTCAGGTGGCGATGGCCCAGCCCTGGCGGCCAACTTTTGGGGACGCGGAGCAGGCGAAGGCTCCGGGAACTTCAGACCCCACAGGCAGCCAAACCCGAACAGTCCCCGGGCTAGGCCCCGCTCCCCCGCCAGCCCCTCCCTCACCTCGGCCCAGACCCGGGGCGGAGGACGAGGGTGCAGGGAATGGGGAGCGGAGAGGCGGGGTGCAGGGAAAAGGGGTGCGGGGGAAGCCGTGCGGGGAGGGAAAGGGAGTATGGGAAGGTAACGGTAAAGGGTAGGACAGGGGGTTCGAGGGATGGGGGCGCGAGGGAGAAGAAAGGAAAAGGGGGTGCGAGAGAAAGGGGTGCGGGTAGGGAAAGGGGGTGCGGGAGAAGGAAAGGATGCGGGTGAAGGGGTGCGGGAAGAGAAACGGGTACTGGTGCGGGTGCGGGGAGAGGAAGGGGCCAGGGAACGCAGGCGTGGGGGTTCGCGGAGGGGACGCCGCGGTCGAAGTGACAGCGGTGGAGTCGCGGCCGGCCGAAGCCGGAGACGAGAGTCGGGCCAAACCAGGCCGTGAGCGGAGGCCAGGCGGCGGCCGCGCCCCCGCAAGCCGCCCCGACAAGCCCACCCCCAGCCGACCCAGGGGCTGCAGGACGAGCGCCAGCAAGCACAGCCGGG